AAAGCAGAACTTATATACATTGTCATCTCCAAAAGGAAGTATAAAGATCGAATATACAAAGGTTCTCCATCCTTCATACGTCCAGCCCGTGCCAAGCACTAGGCGAGAACCACTACAAAAGAAACAAAAGAACTAGACTGGCTAGTCTATGCTCTCATCCTGCTCGCCGTCCCCTGTTAAAGAAAACAAAACTAAAGGGGTGAGCTAAAAACTCAGTGAGGTTCCGAACACATAGTCAGATAGTCAATTCAGTACGTTAAACATGGAGTATCAATAATTCAAGAAATTTTTACAATGGAAAGCGATAGTAACACATTCATTAAAAGGATACGGGCTCACATGGAGCTATTTGTTCGTTCGTTCGTTCCCCTGACATTTCCCCTTATTCCTCCAATTATTTGAAAATTTCCTTTTTGAGAAGTAAAACCCTCGTGCCTTCGTTCGTTCATTCATCCCCTTCCGGACGTTGACCGGACTCCACCCATCCGGACGTTGGCCGGACTCCACCCATCCGGACATGGCCGGACTACAAGGTAATACTCGAGTATACCAAATTCACCCAGGGTCACCATATCGCACGACCGAGTCCGCTTCTGGCTCGAGTCGATCGGTAACGAAGGGCAGGGTCCAGTTCAGCCAAACGGCTTACATTCATGCGCAACTAGCATTTAATCATTGAAAATTTCACATTTCATTTAGGTCGAGTGCGATAAAGTACACACTCACCTAGAAAACTCGTTTTAACAATCATTGAAAGCACTTAACACATTATCAATCAATAATAACAAGCCAATAAGTCAAGGAAATATAACAAACAAGGAACACTCACCTATGTACGCAAAACAACGGGTAAAATATCCTTCCGGATATTATCCTCAGTCATCGAGAAAACCTAAATTAAACGAGAAAGAATATTACAGCTCATCTAGCACAACAATTAGGTGCAATCAAAGAAACGCGACAATTATACTAGTATTTGGTCAAAATACCCAAGCAAACCCTAAACCACTTTTCTTTATTTGATAAGAGTAAGTAAACATTTGGAGTTTCCAATTGAAGAAGGACCATGTTTTAAAATGGAAAAACGGTCATAGTATTTGCCAAACGAAAATATACTAGTTCAAATAGAAACTTAGTCCTTGAGCGAAAATTTGGGCAGCCCGCCCTTTGTGTTTACCTAATTTTCCAGCCATTTATGGCTTAATTATTTCCTCAATCAAACCCAAAGTTATCCATAACACAATTTCAGTTCAATAGCCATTCCATAGGCTCAAACAATACAAGAACAAAATTAAGCTAATATCAAGTGCGGAAATGAAGTTTACAAAAGACAGTTTTGACATCATTTTGCGGTTTTGGCACCATTGGCACTACGATTATCGGATGGAGGTGCAATACACACTGTTTTGAATCTAAGAGATAGAGCTACAATGTTGAAGAAGGCCACTCAGTCCAGTTTCTAATGCAACTAGGCCAAAAATGCAGGAGACTAAACCAGAACCGCAAAAACAGGTGAACAAACCGCATTCTGGTTAATAAACTGTAAGTCAGGATACCTAAGTCCAAATCAAGTGATTCCAAAGCCATTAGAAATCTAAGACATTAGGCTACATTTCTTCAGAAGACCTCAACAACCAATTCAGAAATATTCCCAACCAAAATAACCCATTACAGAAGCAATTCTCAAATTCGGGTAGAAACAGGGCAGCAGGGGTAATTTGGTCTTTTCTCAGGTTACGTTACTCCGATTGAGGTGAAATTTTGTAGGAAACTATAAAATACTATTCTATACAACTTTCATGTTTTATTCCAAGCGTAATTCGGCCTCTAACATGGTGCAATAAAACCGGACAGAATAGAGCTGAAATTTTCCAGAAATCTGGAATTTTGGGATTCAATGCAACCTTTCTTGATTTCTTGCTTCACTTGCTACCAAAACCCCCTATACAATCTTGGAGACAACATATATTAAGCATACATCAAGTTTGGCAGCAATTCATCAAACCCTAATTCATGTATCCACAAAGAAAACAACACCCAAGACATGATAACAACCATTATTCACCACAAATTTGAGATGCTAAGCTAATTTAAACAAGATTAAGAGTAAGAAATGGGGAAATCATCATCCTTACCTTGCTTAGTGTCTACCAAGAGCAACTCTTGCTTTCCCCTTCAAGATTTCACCAACACCTCACTAGATAAACACTCAAGGATGACTTTAATCGGTTTAGTTTTCTTTCTTCCTCACTTGGTGACTAGATTTCAAGAAGAAATGGTGAAATCTCTCTTGGGGTTTCTCTCTCTCTCTCTCTCTCAGCCAAGACCAGAAAAAATGAAGAAGAAAGATGGCTGAAATGAAGGATAAAAAGGCAAGAAAAAAAATTAATCAAGGAGCCATGAGGTGGTGACACTTCGCACCACCAAAGCCATGCAAATTTTTCTCTCTCTCCCTTGCATTTTTGGCCACAAATTTCAGTCAACGGCAGCTGGAAATGAGGGGATATTTTGCTCAAATATCAATGAGCTCATGTGGTAAGAAAGTGGTAGTCCAGTGGTGCGTTCAATCGGTAGTGCGCGGTACACGTCGGTTCGCACCGTTTTTCTTAAAAACACATGTACTAGGGTTTTTTTCTTCCTATTCACTAACCTTATATCATTGCCCCTAATCGCATACTACTTCTCACTTAAAAGTCACTTTTAATCACCAAATTTGATCCTTGTTCCATACCGAAAATTCATCCGGCGAAAATCGCGAAAACCCTAATTTTGCCCCAATCTTAAAACCAAAAGTGAAACCCTACTTTCTAGATTCATTTACACTTATTGGGGAATGATTGGGTAGTAGGGCTATAATAAATACATAATTTCCAAATAAAGGGTATTTTTAAGAAAAACGTGAGGAATTTTACAATTCCAGTGATTAAAATTAGGGTTTCAATTAAAGTATGAGGGATTTAAGAAATCCTGTTGGTCACAAGTAAACTAGGGTTTTTGATTAAAATATTAGGGTTTCTAGTCTTTTAAAACAAAATAAGGTTTTAAATCAAACCCAAAGAAATACACTTTAGTATTTTCTTTACAAACAACTTCCTAATATTCGGGGTGTCACAGGACTAGTGTGATAACATGCATTTATTACAGTCTAAGAAATCAGATAAACCATAATAAAGAAAATAAACACATAAATCACATAAGACACATAGCACATAGGCATGATATTTAGATGCACGTCCTAAGAAAGCGGTAACACATAGCACATAGGCATGCAAATCACACAAAGTAAAAACAAAACAAATAAATCCCTATCTATTACATTAGGGAGGCCCTACTACAATCTAAAAGGGGAGAGGCATAAAAAATAAATAAACAAACCCTTAACTATTACAACTTTGACATTCAAGTGCCTTTCAAATGATCAAAATTGAACTAAAATCAATGCAAAATTCGATAACTAAAGAAATGAATAAAAATGAAATAAAACAATCAAGGTCATGCAATTACACACATAAGCCACGTAGATGCACATAGGATCAAATAAAGTGAAAATAAGGGATAGAGTGTACCTCCCTTGAGTTGGAGCCCTAATGGAGTGAAATTACTTATTTACCCTCCAAAAAACAAAGAAAGGGTCAAGGCATCACTTTAGTTAACAAATAATCACAAAAGATAAAAATAAACATGAAATTGAATCAATTAGATCATGTAAACAACCCACAGTTAAAAAGTTAAAAGAAGAAGGGATTTAATTGCGAAAATTAACAAAGTTTTGGGGCCAAAATTAAAGAAAAAGAAAGTTTAGGGGCCTATTTACAATTAAATTAGGGACCCAATTGAAAGAAGTTAAAAGTTTTGTAGGGCCATAGTGAAAATATCCAAAAGTTAGGGGACTGGAATGAAATTTCGTCATCAGGCTTCTTAACTTAACAGGCCATTGGGCCCTTTTCTTTATTTGTTGGGCCAGAGCATCCTAAACTCACTCGAAATATCAAGGCAAATGGAATGAGCCAGCCTATTATTTATGACCCCAAAATTATCCAACAAACCAGGTGAGCTTCTACCCTGTAATCCAAACCAAAACTCAAAATAATAAACTCAAACCCACTCCCTTAAACCCAAGTAAAATAACCTCTCGGCCCAAATCACCCTCTTCCCAAGAACCCAACATGGAAAAATCAATTAAAATTATTAAGCCACAATTATAACCTAAAACCAATAATTAATCTACCCGAAAAGACTACTTAAAAGTGAAAAGATGATTAAAATTTAAAGGGCGAAATTGGTTTCATTACAAACGTTTTTGGACCATATCAGAACAAGGAAAACTTGAGGGGTTCCAATGCAATAAAAACAGGGACTCAATCGAAAGAATTATGAAAGGTTTGGGGCGAATTATGGAGTTCTAAAAATTCTTGAGGTAAATTACAAAACAAAAATGAAAATCGAGGGACTGAAATTGCAATTTTAAACCAAAAGGTCTTCTTCCCCAACGGATCAGACGTCAATCTACCATTTCTGTCTTTCTTTGTAGAGGAAGAACGTCTGAAGATTCAAATTCCAGCTCACACGAATCTCATCTCATTCAAATTCATTCCATTAAATCAAGTTCATGCAAAAGGAAATCTAAGAAAACGAAACTCTTCAAACTCTACTTTTTCATGAAAATCAATTATTCGGACAGGCATGGAACTTCACTGACCATTTGTTTTCCCCACCCGCACATGCAGATAAACTACCTTCCAATTAAAATTTTCAAACAAGCATTTCATCGAACAGGAAATATGCATTAAAATTTCACCAGATTTTTGCTCGAATTGAAGTATAACTAGCCCCAAAAATTTGTCAGAAAACCAAGGATTTCGATTCCAATCATCATGTATAACATACATACTCCAAATTCACAAATAGTCGACAGGAAATTGCTACAAACCAAGGCATGGAAAATCAGGTTTCGGGAGCTTGAAGAAAAACTGAAATTTGAAAGAAAAAGGACAGCTTACCGTATCCAGAATGAAGGAGGCGAATGGCGTCCCTTTCTCTTCGCCTCCTTCATTCTGGAATTGGCCATGGAGATTTCGTTGCCTTCATTGGGGTCCAGCCAGACCTTGCCTCTGCCGCACTTGGGGACGCTGGCGGCGAGCCACTTCTGAAGCTTCAGCGACACCATCCCTACATCCGTCGATCCGTCTCCTCCTCCTCTGTTTTTTCTTCCTTGCCTTTTGTTTATCACTTGGGCTCTCTCTTTCGTCTTTGCCTCCCGAAGACTCTCCCCTCTCAATTTTCCCAGATTTTCTTGTTCTTGTTCTATTTTTCAACTCCAAAGCCTCTGTTTTCCCTTTGTCCGCCCCATTTCCTCTCCAACTTCCAGCTTTATTTTCTGATTTTTCGTAGCTTTTTCCTTCCTCTCCGTTTCAGTCCGGATCTTCCCTTTCCTTTTTTGTTTTGCCTTCCGAAAATCTCCCCAATTTTCCCCAGGTTTTTTTGCTCTTGCTCTCTTTCTTTTCTTTGGCCGAAACCCCTTCCCCTGTTTTCTGGCTCACTCCGTTTTTTTTTCTCCCCCAGCCGGCCATTCATTTCCCTTTTTGTCATTTCTTTTTTTTCCTTTTAAATCTTGGGCCTCCAAGTGTCTACCATTTAACCCTTTAGGTGCCTTGTTGTCTAATATCCAAAGGGACACTTGTCCCCATGCATGCCCCATCCACTTGTCATTTTTTACTTTTTCTTCTTTTTTCCTTTTGTTTTCTGAAATTTAGTATGAAAACAAAAAATAAAATAAAATAAAAATAAGAAAATAAAATAAACTAGAACAAAATAAAATAAAATAAAAATTCTAGAATTGAAACAAATAGAGCTATTAAATTAATTAAACAAATAAAGTTAAAAAATCAAAAATTTGGTGTCTACAGTTTGCCCCTCTTTGTCTGAGTTTCGAAGAAACTCGAGACAAAGACGTAGACACCAAATACTCACCTGTGGTTATTCGGCTGCAAACTACTCGAGCGACTGATGCTCTTGAAATGAGGACTGACCCCTTTAACAAATAATTTTTAAATTGGGACTGACCCAGATGAGAAATTCAAAACGGGACTGACCGAAACAAGAAATTTAAAAGGGGACTGACCCTGACAAGAAATTTGAATCATGGGACTGACCTGAACAAGAAATTTAAAAGGGGACTGACCCGAACAAAATTTAAATCCTGGGACTGACCCGAAAAAAATTTAAATCATGGGACTGACCCGAACAAACTTTTAAATCATGGGACTGACCCGAACAAGAAATTTAAAATCATGTGACTGACCCGAACAAAAATTTAAACGGGACTGACCCGAACAAAAAAATTTAAACGGAGATGCACACTAGTGGGACTGACCCATGTTTAGTGGCAATGAAAATGAAAGGCTCACTGGTGGGACTAACCCATGTTCAGTGGCAATGAAAATGAAATGCACACTAGTAGGACTGACCCACGGCTAGTGGCGGTGCAAAATGAAATGCTCACTAGTGGGACTGACCCAACGGCTAGTGGCGATGAAAAATGAAATGCTCACTGGTGGGACTAACCCATGTTCAGTGGCGGTGAAAAATGAAATGCGCACTAGTGGGACTGACCCAACGGCTAGTGGCGATGCAAAATAAAATGCTCACTGGTGGGACTAACCCATGTTCAGTGGCGGTGAAAAATGAAATGCGCACTAGTGGGACTAACCCATGTTTAGTGGCAATGCAAATGAAGTGCTCACTAGTGGGACTGACCCAACGGCTAGTGGCAGTGTAAATGAAATGCTCACTAGTGGGACTGACCCAATGGCTAGTGGCAGTGTAAATGAAATGCATGCTAGTGGGACTGACCCATGTTTAGCGGCAATGAAAATAAAATGCACACTAATGGGACTAACCCATGTTTAGTGGCAAAGAAAACAAAATACACGCTAGTGGGACTGACCCATGTTTAGCGACAATGAAAACAAAATGCACACTAGTGGGACCCATGTTTAGTGGCAAAGAAAATAAAATGCTCACTGGTGGGACTAACCCATGTTCAGTGGCAGTGAAAAATGAAATGCGCAATAGTGGGGCTAACCCATGTTTAGTGGCAATGCAAATGAAGTGCTCACTAGTGGGACTGACCCAACGGCTAGTGGCAATGTAAATGAAATGCTCACTAGTGGGACTGACCCAACGGCTAGTGGCGGTGCAAAAGAAATGTATGAAGAAACTGTATAAGACTTGCTTGAAAAATTATCCAAAGATTTGCCCCAGTGTGATGCATTGGTCAGTGGGATTAAACCCGAGCCTGCCTTAGTTGATGGTACAAAATCCAAGCCCAACGTGACGTTTGTGATGTTGGCGGCACAAAATCCAGGCCCAACGTGATTTTTGTTATGTTGGCGGCACAAGAACCAGGCCCAACGTGATGTTGGCGGCACAAAGTTCAGGCCCAACGTGATTTTTGTGATGTTAGCGGTACAAAAATCAGGCCCAACGTGATGTTTCAAAAAAACAAGAAATTAAATTTAATTTGTCAAGAAACCAGAAGTTCAACTTGATTTTTTTTTTATTTTTGACTTTTTCTGATTTTTTTTATTTTTTATTTTTTTTGATCTTTTGATTTTTTGAGTTTTGAAAGAATCTTTTCAAAAATAATTTGCCCCAGTGTAAGGCCCTTTTTCCTTCTTTCTTCTCTTTCTTCGGTATCGGCCTTCCACATCACTAGATGCTTGTTCGTCGATTTCAGCCATGAATACCTGCACAGGGGGCTTACCAAAGTACAATATACGCTTAAAATTATTATTTCTTTTGAATTGATGCCCCTACTACTCATGTAAAGAGCAGCATGATTGATTCAAAAAAAAATGTCTTGCTTGACTCTTGGACAAAATTCTCAAATGTGTTACAAAAATTTGCCCCAGTGTGGGCTTATTTCGCGAAATCTCACAAATAAAAAATTTGCCCCAGTGTGGACTCCTTTGATTGTAAAAATTTGTTCAGATGATTCCCCATTTATTTGAGCAAGGAGAAACTGCACTTTCTAAAATTTAGAAAATAATCATATATACAATGTGAAGAAATTTAAACGTCAAGTTTGAACTCATGCAGAAATTTCATGATGAATCCCTCAGAGTAACACCAAATTCAAGAAGATTTTCTTCGTCACTTTTAGCATCGGTGCTTAGGGTAACAGGTCACCACTTCTTGTTGGCTCATCTTTCAGGACCAATCAAGTGGGCATTATTTCTGATTTGGAAGTGGCTAAAGGAAATTGGAGGTCAAGATTTGTCTTATTTTTGTGCCCATTCGATATCACATCTTAGTGAAAGCAAATAGTTTGCCACCCTCATTTCTTAAGAAAACTTAGTCAACATATAAGCTTTGTAAGCTTGTAACTGAGGGGTAAAAACGATACCAAAACATGCGGAAACAGGTTATAACCTTATGATCATGAGTGATAGGTAGATTTCTTAGGAGCGTAACCCTTGCTTTGAGTTGTCATGAGGGATAAGTCAGCGATGGACTTTATGAGCTTGTAATGTGGCTTGGAAACGATAGTTAAAGAATAAGACTTTCAAGGACATTGCACCGAAGATCGCATTTTTCCAAAATTGCCCCTGTTTTGAACTCAAAGATCTCAGATTTTGTTTGCATTTTTTCTCATCATTCACCAGGGACTTCAGCGTCGAATTTTTCCTTGCATTTTTCTTGCATTTACTTTTCTTGCTTTGTTTTTTGCTTATTTTTCTTTTTCTCGACCTGGTGGGTTTTCACATGGTGAGTAGTATCAACCCCATACCCAAGCAATTCAGAAATACAGCTAAAATTTTCTGCCATCAGAAATTTTCTTGACAGGGCCATTGCAAAGAACATAAGTCAGGACTTTCGGCTTTTGTAATGGGGTCTAGTGGGGTGCTTAGAAAAGGTTAAGGTTTGAAAGCAAATTTCAAGAGTGGCTTGAATGGTCTGAGATTGCATTATTGCACAAACCCTATTTTTAGGGTTAAATCAAAACCTGTCCCAATTTATTCTCAACTGAGGCTTTTTCCTTTCATTTTCCTCCTTTTCTTTTCTTTTCTTTCTTCTCTTTTCTGGCCTTCGGTCGTTTCATTCACCGAGGTTTTCTTTTCTTTCATTTTCTTTTCTTTCGGCCTTCCTTCAAAAATTAACTTTGCCCCAGTTTGGGGTTTTTCTTTTTCCTTCTTTTTCAAAACTGAATTTACCCCAATGTGGGGTTTGCGATTCTCAGGGGTTGCCAAACGAAATAGCTTATTCTGAAGGTTCAAAAAAGATAACTAGGGATAAAATGTTTGATTGGAAAGGAAGACGGCCTGACTTTCGTTCCATTCCTCACATTGACCCTGAAAGGAAACTTTTATTAATGCGACATTTCTTGCATGTATCTGAATTAATTGACTGAAGAAGACTCTTGCTCATCCATAAGTGGTTCGTCGGACAAAACTCTTCCTTTTTTTTCTTTTTCGTCAAAATTGAAGCCCAGATAGTAATGGTAGAATCAAGTTTTTCCAATTTAATTTTAGCATTCATGATTTTTCTTCCCCTTTTTCCAAATTCTCCAATCTCCTTCCCCATTGTGGGGTGCGATCATAAGTGCCTTTGAAAAGAACCACCCATTTTAGCTCAAATGAGGATGCAAGGGATAAGCAGTGTTTAGGTTGTAGAAACGATGGCCAAAGTATCATTCTTACGCCTCATGACAACCAAAGTAAAGAATAGCTCATTGAGAACCCATTCCCTTTTGAAAATTTTCCCAATGTAAGGTAGTGATCATTAAGGCCCTTATTTGAAACGAAATTATTCTTTTAAAGCTCAAATGGGAGAGCAAATGATAAAGTCTATAGAGATAGAGAAACGAAAGCCTAAAGTATCATTCCAAATTTTCAAAATAAAGAAAAAGTGATGTACATTTTTGCTTTCACTTAGATGTGAAATGAATCTGGTTAAACCAGTGGGCATTTTTCCAAGCAAAGATTGTCCCAATTTGCAATTTGTTAATCAATGTGACTGATTTTTGGGGGTCCATAGAAGTGGGCAAAATAAGAATTGTTTAGTGAAGGGAAAAAAAAGGTATTGCATTGGATTTTTCGAAACAGACCAATCAGTTTGAGTGACCTCTTTTAATCTCGAACACTCTTATTGTATAGCTCAGATCCC